CTGGTCTGGAATGCTCAAGAAAACCCAGAAAGAGCATGTTAAATGAACCTACTAATTCCCTTCAAAATTCCTGAATTTTAAATGCACATTTGTTTGCACACCATATAAATGCTGATATTTGCCTGATACGTCTCCTCTATGCACATTATCCTTTCCATCCAGATAAAGAAAGCTGCTCAAATTAACAAGTCACAGAAACATAGATGCACTATTTTCTGTGTAGAATTATGAAATTTAGAGGTTTATGCCATTAGTCTCTGGCTTTTAAAAAAAATCCAATACTGTCTTGCACAGTTCATCAGAGCATAAGCTGTAACCATTCAACCTGGGTTCAAATCCCAGCTTTGTCGCTTACTAGCTGCAAGAAATGAGGCAGGGTTTTTAGCTTCTCTGTGCCTCCATTTCCTCAACTGTGAAATGGAGATAATGTCAATACTGACCTCCTGGGGTTGGAATGAGGATTACTTCAGTGTAATTCAAGTCAAGTGCTTAGACCAGTGTCTGGCACATGGTTAATACTATGTTATGACCTCACCATGAGCAATGGTGAGCACACAGAGCTTGAGTCTTTCTTCAGAGACCCTGGCAGTTATTTATAAGCATGTGGCTAAGAAAATAGCTCTTGGGGCACCTGGGTGGCTCAGCTGGTTAAGCGTCTGACTTTGGCTCAGGTCATGATCTCAGGGTTCTGGAATCGAGTCTCACATTGGGCTCCTCGCTCAATGGGGAGTCTGCTTCTCCCTCTCCCCACTGCCCCAACCCCTGCTCATGCTCTCTCTCTCATATAAATAAATAAATAAAATTTTTTTTAAAAAAAAAAAAAAAAAAACAGCAACAGTTCTTTTCCCTTAAATTGCAGTGGCAGAAGAAACATCCAACTAGACTCTCCAGGCTATAAGTGGTTTTATCTATTATCCTTTTGCTTATTATTCATCTCATCAACTTGGGTTTCTGAATCCCCAAATTTTGCCTCCACACTGTCTTTCAAATGACTTGCTTTACTTCTGTTTGAATTAGCCTCTCTCTAGTTCCCTCATTTCACATTGGTTGGTCTAGAGCAATAGCCTCCTCTCTGACCTTCTCACTTCCATTCCTTCAGCAGTCCCCAGAACCACTGGTGGTCCCACGATCCTTCCACAACATTCCCAGCACAGCCCCCACTTGACATTTCCTCCTCCCCCATCCTTTGCCTACATTTACCAGTCAAACTGGGTTACTTATTGTCCACTCATTCTTTCACTTAGTCAACCCCTAACGGGGTGCCAAAAAGCCAGACTCTGCTTTCCAGAAGCTTGGTAGAGACTGGGGAGACAGGCGCACATTATCAATTCCTAAAATTAAAATTGCCAAATTCGGTTGCCACCAAACTGCTGCAGAAGGTGCATCAGATCCCACCTGGTGGAGGGATGAGGGGGTTGAGGGGTCATGAAAGTCCTCACAGAGGGCACAGAAAGGATTAAGCTGCGTAGGGAGAACTTTTCATCACAGCTTTATTCAGGTATGACTGAAGCACAATAAACACATGTTTAAAGTGTACGATTTGGTACATTTTGACACTTGTGAAACCATCACAACAACCAAGAGAGTGAACACATCTGTCCCCAGAGTTGCAATCTCCTTCCCCTGCCCCCTTCTCCTGCCCTGCCAGGCAACCGCTGATCTGCTCCCTGTCACAGCAGATTCATTTGCATTTTCTGGAATTTTATATATATGTGCATATACCTACACATACGTGCAACCATACATCATGCACTCTTCTCTTCACCTGGATCCTTTAACTCAGCAAAGTAATTTTGAGATTCACCCATGTTGTAGTACGTGTCACTAGTGTGTTCCTTTTTGTTGCTGAGTAGTAGTCTATACAATGAGTATGCCCTAGTTTATTTATCCATTCAGGCATGGATGGGACACTTGAGTTGTTTCTAGTTGCTGGCATTACAAATAAAGCTCCTAGGAACATTCATGTGTAAGTCTTTGTATGCATGATGCTTTTATTTCCTTGGGTGAATATCCAAGAGTGAAGTTCCTGGGTCATATGGTAGCTGGTCCAGTCCATACTTATTGAGGTACAAGAAGTTTAACTTTTAGGAAACTGTCTAGCTGTTTTCCAAAAATGGTTGTCCCATTTTACATTGCCTCCAGTAGTGTGGGAAGGTTCCAGGTCTACATGGAAGAGGTTTCCCTGATAAGGAAACAATGGAAGGATGAAAGTACGTGTAATGCTCAGGGAACATCAAATAGTCCTAATTGAGCAAGTTGAGTGATAGTGGGCCACAAGGCAGAAATTTTATTTTAGGCCAGCTCATTGAGGGCTTTGGTATTTGGAGTATACATTCCAGGTGATGGAAACTCACTGAAAGCTCTTGAGGAAGGGATACTTTGGCCTCTGGCTCTGAACATTGTGGCTTCCCACCTGCATACTATTCTCTCCCTCATGCTGTTTCCTTCCTTAGAATACAATCATCTGCTTTTTTTTTAAGATTTTATTTATTTATTTGACAGAGAGAGAGACAGTGAGAGTGGGAACACAAGCAGGAAGAGTGGGAAAGGGAGAAGCAGGCTTCCCACGGAGCAGGGAGCCCGATGCAGGGCTCGATCCCAGGACCCTGGGATCATGACCTGAGCCGAAGGCAGACGCTTAACAACTGAGCCACCCAGGTGCCCCAATCATCTGCTGTCTTGGTACCATTTTGGTACCATCTATGGAAAGACCAAGACGCAACTGAAATGTTCACTTGTCTTCAATTTCATCCCTCACCGCTGAATTTCTTTAATCATTCTTTTATACGTCATGGCCCCAAGTCACACTCATATTTCCGGGGAGTTCCCTATTTATCTGAGGTCTCTGAAAAGAGTGAGGCTCGTTCATGCAACATCACCCACAAGACCAATCCCTTTTGGAAGATATATATTTAGACACTTCTTTTTTGGTCTTATTTTTATGCAAAGTGCAAACTAAAATAACATTTTAAAACAACAAAGGTATAAATCTCATTGCTCGTTTTGCCGAGACCAACATGAGAATATGTGGACTGGATCCAAGGAGAAAAAAATAAAATCACTCTGCCTCCCTCCCAGCTTCGGTTGGTTTAACCATCTTGTCCCTGATCCTTTGCTCTTTTATGCTCACCAGGTCTTCTTCACTCAAGTGTGGCAAATTATGTAATTAGTGAAAGAGCAACAATTTTGCCGAGAAAATGGTTATGTGTTTATGGATGTTCAATGGCTCAAAATGTCTAATGAAACCATTTAATGGGTCCAGAGAAAGAAGGCAGAACTGGGTCCCAGCCAGCTCTGCAAAACTGGAGGTAGCTGAGAAGCACCCCCCGGAAAGAAGGCCACTTTGAGACACTGCTTGGGTAGCAAGGACTCAGCCCTGGGGTGGCCTCAGCACCCATTGCTCTCTCCTCTGCACTGATACAGAACAAAATAGCCAGTGAAAAAGTTCCCAGGAAATGGTCTGTGGCTTTATACAGTCCGATCTATACCCTTGCTAGATTGACATCTTTGCTGTTCTTCCAATTTTCCATAAGATATTCAAGTCATTAGAGAACACTGAACCTAATTGTTATTCTCTGAAAGCCTACCATGATATCCAGGGGTTTAGACTACGCAGTTCGCCTTCAATGGTGTTAGCAACTGGACAGGAATATGAATAATATGTGTGTGTTTTATTCTGGGGCCTGCAGTTTGGTGTGCTAGAATGTGCCTCACTTCCTCTGTGCTCCTCCAGAGCAGAAGGGGCTTCCAAATACTAGCCTCAGTTCAGGATGACAGCCTTTCCAGAGAATGCCATCCTTTGGTGTGCCTTTTGACAAAGGGAAATGCCAAAACACACATGGGCTGGGGGTTTGGTTACTTTAGTTTCCTAAACTGCCCTGGAGAGTTTGATGGCTTTGACATTGAACCAGTGTCAGAGCATAACGGAGTTCACTACTACAAGGTACATTTCATAATATATTTTCTACTATTTGGAAGTACCCTAGACTAGGGGGGAATTTTTTTCTGGGGTCTTCCCAGGACACCTCACCCAGGCCATTGCTTGGACATCTTGTTTGGTTTCCCGTTGGCATCTCTGATCCAAGAGACAGAAGGATGGGAGGGGGACCAGGCAGCATGAAATGCACCCTTCCTTCAGAATAGACAGGGGGAATGAAGTTGGTGAATTTAGCTGAGGTCGGGCAAGAGCATTCTAGATGGGAAGGCCAGTAGAGAAACTTCACTAACCTGAAGCTGCATGAACATTCAATGTGGGACCCCATCTGTTTTGTTAAATTGACAATTTTCTTTAGCAGGAAATAAAGGTTCATACTGAGTTTCAGACCAGCTACAGGGTAAGAAATAGCTTCACTTTTTAAAGACTTTGCTTTTTAAGGCATTCGGCCTGTAACCTAATTTCATTTGATGGAGTTTGTTTTTCCTTCCCCACTTGCTGCCTAGAAATGTGCGCTTCATTATCTTCTGCAGAATTGGGGTTGGAGGGGGGCGCCGGTAGGAGCTGGAGACTCAGAGTTCTCTGGGCCTCAAAAGCATGTAAAAATATAAAATTAAAACAAATGATAAGAGCAGCCACCGCCGTGGATTTGCTGTCTCAAACACGTCATACCACTCGGCTTACGTAACTCCTAAGGGGGACTGCCTGGACCCCTCCAGTTTCCATTTCATAAGCATGGAGACAAGGCCAGACCCAAATAAGCAAAGGACAGCACCTTAGCACAAACACACACAGGGACAGATTTTCTCCCAGGGAAATGAGGTTTTCATTTGAGAGAAAAGCTCGCATCTATTAGGCCTCTTTTAGAATACAAGAAATTAATACTTTGTTTTAGATTTTTAAAAAATTCAAACCTTCCAATGTTCTAACATGAAGATGGGACTTTATCTAAACAAATAATTATAATGGAATATGATTTCCTGCATTACTTTAGAACTGTTTTTTTTTAATATTGACATGAGGGAACACACACACACACACACACACACACACACACACACACAAGTGATTGTAGAATATCAACTTTTTAATTTAAAAAGAGTAATCCAGCAGTTACCCGGGAGAAAAGACACACATCACCATGGCTCTCATTAGCACTGGCTGACTACGTGGCTACAGCGCCCTCAGCAAGTGGAAATGAATTTACTTGATGTCACACAAAAGAGCCACTCCTCTCAGGATCCAGTGATCTGGGGACAAAACTGTTCGCAAATACACCACAGTGATGAAGGTCAAGTCAGTACGCCTGGGTTTCTTGTAAATAGGACACACATACAGCTTGGGGTCCTTGGGTGCGGTGGAATTAACGGCGAAGATGTGCAGCACAGGCAGCTGCGTGAAGAGCACCTTGGGGGCGGGTTCTGTAAGCTTCCCATTCCGTCTGTCCCAGGCGGCTCCATCCATATATAGCCCATAAATATATACACCTTCCTGGAAGAGTCAAGCATAAGGAAATAGGATTTTTGAAAAAAATGAGGTGCTGTGAGATGGACATCCATTACTCTAATAAGGGTCGTCAGCTTAGAAAGAAGACATACACCAGTCTTAAAACGCCACTGAAAGAACAAAACAACCACTAGGCACGTTGTATTAGTGAAATACTGAGCCCAATTTTCCCCTGTGGCCTATCTTGGGGCCATAAGGGCTGCAGAACTATTGCTTATTTGAGCCTAGGGGTAGCCCAGTGGGGACAACGGACTTAGGCAGCAGAACCAAATCACCTCTACAAGGAACTAAGTCTCGGAGAGATCTGGTCTGAGTCAGTGTAGGGTCAGAACAAGGAATGGGATTTGGAGCTGGGAGCCACATGGGATCTCAGCCTGTGCCAGCCAAGCCAACCTGCTGCTCTAACCATCTCAGCGGTAGGAGGGAGTGAGATAATGTGCGGCCAGGCCTGGCGGGCAGGTGAGTCAGAGTGCCCCCAGAGGCCAGGTGTGGTAGAGTTAGCGAGGGCATAATAGGGCCTGGGTGCGTTGGTTCAGCAGGAGGGGCAGTCATTCCCTGTTTCTCTTTCACACAAAGGAACCCTGCCCTTGAGGTCTTCACCATTAAATCTGGGGGAAAGACATGAATTGAATACCAGCACACCCTTGTTACAGGGGCTGCCTGGTGACCAGCACTGAGACTATGTGAAAGGCCACCCTGGGCTGGAGGGCTTAGGGGTCTTTGTGGAGGAGACAGTTTTGAAGGATGGGCTGCTTGGGGGAAGACAGAGGGCAGAGGGCAGGCGTCCAGGCAGCAGAAATAGTACAAAGGTAGGTAGGATGGGTAGGAAAGCCCAAGCATTTTATTTAGCAGAGGGTTCAGCGGTTATAAAATAAGTTGGGGCTTGACCGTGGAAAAGTCTCAAGGCCAAAGTGAAGAGTTTGAACTTTACCTTGTAGACCATGGGGAGCCATAGAACATGTATTCAGTAAGAAAAGAAAGGCTAGAGGGAATCACGGGGGACTCTGATAATCATGTAAGCCCATAACATATATCTATGTAGAAGATGGTGACCATTTTTCCTCTCCAATGAGGAGTAGGTAAGGGGAAGCAAATGTAAATTATAATAAAAGAGAGTGAGATTAATTGCAAAGTGTTTTCTGGAATCCTCTCATGTGAGCTAAGAGTATGAGGACCGTATTTTTTGAACCCAAACCTAAAGTACATGGTTTGACAGTAAGACCAGGAGCAATCCCAGAAAATCAGGACATATGATTACTATCATTGTCAGTTGGTGACAATTACTGTATGAACGACACAACTATTCAGGTAGCATCCAACAGTAAACTGTACCCCTTTTAGGTTCCTTTTCATCTCAGAACTCTACAAAGTCATAGTTAGAAGGTGTAGCGGGCTGAAAAGCGTCCCCCCCGAAAAGTCATGTCCACTTAGAACCTCTGAACATGACTATGTGGAAATAGGGCCTTTGCAGATGGAATTAGCTAAGGTCATATTGGATTAAAGTGGGCTCTAAACCCAATATGACTGGTGTTCTTGTGAGAAGAGGAGGGGACACACAGAGACACGCAGAGAGAAGATGGTCATGTGACAATGGAGGCGGAGGCTATAAGCCAAGGAACACCAAGGACGACCTGCAACCATCGGAAGCTAAGAGAGACACACGGAACAGATTCCTTCTCCCCACCCCTCCCGCCCCGCCCTGAGCCTTCAGAAGAAACCATCTCTGCCAATATCTTGATCTCAGACTTCCGGCCTCCTGACCTCTGAGGAAAGAAATTCTGTTTTAAGCCCCCCAGTTTGTGGTACGTGGTGGCAGCTGCTGTAGGAAACGAGTACAGAGCTTGGTGCCAGGAAACAGGGTGCTGCCCTGACAAATACCTCAGACGTGGAAGTGACTTTGGAATTGCATAATTTTAAAGAGAGAATTTTGGAGGGGCATGATTGAAATAGCCTAGGGTTGCCTTGAATGGAGAGGTTGCTGGTGGAAATGTGGAGGTTAAGTGTGCTTCTGGTGGGCTGGCAGGCAGAAATGAGGACCAGGATATTGGACACTGGAAGTGGCCTTGCTGTAAGTGGCCCTTGCTTCAAGTGGCAGAAAGGGCCAGAACTTGGAATTCATTTGGCCCAGTCCTTTTCCTTGACAACTGAGGGAATGAAAATCAGAGAAAGGGAAAATGAGGCTGATGTATTGAGTACCTACAGGGAGTCCTAAATGATTCCAGTTGATTCTCAAAACCATCTTTCATGAGGTTGAATCATCATCCTTATTTCACAGATGAGGAAGTTGAGGCTCAAAAAGTTAAGGAACTTTCCCAAGTTCACAGAGCAGGTCAGTGTCCAAGTAGTGGCTCCCAACGGCATCTGCTTATCTTGGGGCCCCCCCGCTCTGCCCCCCTCCAGGTGTCCCTCCACCCAGGGTCCCCCAGCAGCAGGGGGCACTGCTGGAACTGGCCCCAGAGCTTAGGACTGCAGGTACTGTTGGGTCTCCACCGCCCCGACCCTTGTCCAGTCTGTAAGCAGCCCACAGCAGGAGCCGGAGACGTGTAGAAAACCCGTTTTTAGCAAACACAAGTGTAACTTGAAATTATAAAGACATGCTCTCTGAGGAGTTCCAGTGCTTGTCATTAATTCCCACTTCAGCACTGAGGTCTCTTGGTGAGGACCAAGGAAACCCCAGCTACAAAGCCAATGGACTTAACTGAGGCACTCATAGGTCAGTGTCAAGCAGAATTTGAGCTTTTAACCCAGGTTCCAGAACTGCCCGTGCTATAGCCCAGTGGCGCCTACCACAGGGGGCGATGCGATCTCCTCCTTGGTCTGCCGCAGAACTTCATTGTGGATGGTCACGGAGTCCAGGGCCCAGCCTTTGTGGGCACGAGTCACTTCTTGCCTCATTGCTGTGAGAAAGCCTGAAAAAAAGAAAAGAGGATCCCGATGTCTTGGTGCAGTCCACTCGAGAAACAGGAAGGGAGCAGTGTCAAGTGCGAGTTGCTTACCAATCTCCAAATGCGTGCCCTCCCAGGAGGAGTTGAGATTGAACCTCAGGGGCATATTTCTTCTTGTGTTTTGTTTCTATGGGGACCTGCAATGAGCTGGGTATTCCTTGCTGGCTGACAGCAGGAAAGCAGCACCCTTTCTGCCTCAGACAGAGCCTTGGTTTGAAATTCTCTCCTGGGGTTTCAACCATTCAAATGTCTAAAAATTATAACCCAGGCCAAGCTCAGAGTCTCTATTTGAAAACACGCTATTTAGGAACAAGACTGGAATGGTAAATATCCTGAGATCAGCATTCCAACGAAAACTTGAATCGAGCCATTATTAAGCTTCTATTTGCTATAATGGAGCAATTTCATTTTGTCTAAGGAAACGAGGCATAATGCCAAAATAGAAAACCCAACTTTCAATTTGATCAAACAAAGCAATCACACTGGAAAGGAAAGCTATGTGTTTTAATGTGCATAATACAGTTATTTTAAGGCAATACGTGGCTCCAGATATTGGGGCCTTTCTTTACACTTAATATTTGCAAACCATGCTGTTCAATTCCATAAGAGAAATCTTTGAGAGTAGCAATTATGTTAGAAACTAGGCCCTAAACTTCAAATGGACTTCAAAACCTTAGGAATATTTATCTGTGACCTCTATATTACATTTGGCTTCCATGTTAATAGTGAAAATCATGAGACTCTTGACTCATAATCATGAGTAAATTTTGGAATATGTATGTCCCCGCTCCTCCCAGTGAGATCTGAGAATGATTATGCACAAACCAGCACATCAGTGAGAATATCTTATCAAGTTTGACTGGGATTAGAAGGAAGAGAAAAAGTTAAAAGGCACTGAGTTACTATCCCTCAAAGCTGGAAAGAAAGAACAGGCCCCTAGCCTGGGTGAATGAGAGAGTCAAGTTCTTCTGGTTCCCAAGTCCCTTCCTAGATAATAAATTAGACAGCTGGGGAGGCATTCATTCATTCATTCATTTATTCATTCGTTAAAATTCTCAGGCGTGGCCACCGTGTACCAGGCAGTGCTCTGGATGGGATGACCAGAAAGATGAAAAGGCCATCCATCAACCCCACATGCCAGGAGCTCAGTCTAGAAGGAATGTGGAGGAAGACAAGACATATAATACAATGTTGTTATGAGCAGAGGTGTTAACAAAATAAACCACTTGGGAAGACAACTCAAGGCTGAATCGAGAAGATGAAGTTGAGGGTGACTCTTGCAAGATTACGTAGGAGTTTGCCTATTCCATCTAACAATTCCAGTTAGATGAATAGCGTGTGCAAAAGACACGGAGGTCTAGGTGAAAGGTGAGGCAATGTTGGCAGATAAGGTTAGCACAAAGGTAGAGGCAGGACTTTCCAGGGTCAGGGTTTGGACTTAATTTTGTGGCTAGTGGGAAGCCACTGAATATTTAGAGTAGGCAAGTGCTTTGATTATATTTGCATCATAAAAGGTGTACTCAGAGTGCTCTCTAAAACAGGACTTGTGTGCTAAAGAAGAATGCTTGCATTAATCCAAAAGGTCAATCAACCAGAGTAGCTGATTGTAGGGCTTTTATATGTGATTCTTTTTTTTTCTTTTAAAGATTTTATTTATTTATTTGAGAGAGAGAAAGAGAGAGGGAGAGAGAGAGAGCACGCACACAGAGGGAGAAGGAGAAGCAGACTCCCCGCTGAGCAGGCAGCATGGTGCTGGACTTGATCCCAGGACCGAGATCATGACCTGAGCCCAGGACTCTGGGATCATGACCTGAGACAAAGGCAGATGCTTAACTGACTGAGCCACCCAGGCGCCCCTATAGGTGATTCTTATAAAGCTATAGTTCCACAAAACTGAGAGGGCCTGGTAGTAAAGGAAGATTTTATGACACCAAAAGTTCACTACAGGGGCCAGGAAATGGTGCAAGTTTGCCTGAGAGCAATTGCTGGTCAGGGCCTCTCCGTACTCCATCCTTGGAGTCACTTGAAGTGATCTGATCAGCATGTCATTATGTTGACTTCAGTGTTCAATACTGGGGATCCCACACTCTAGTAGTGAAACAAACATCTGTGCATTTGCCAGTCGGTAGTGTACGACTGTTAGGGGAGGGAGGTCTTCAAGAGGATGCGACCACCTATGAGCTGCACCCAGGCAATCAGAGACTGCACTCCCTCCCCTGTCCTTGGAACCTGCAGCCCTCTCCCTTCCTACCTCCCAGAAGTTGCTCAAAAACATAGCCTGGAGATGATGTGGTGTTGAGACCCTCTGGATGGTGTTCGTGCCTGAACCCAGTGAAGGCCTCTAGATAAACCTTCATATTTGGTGGGTGGGTGTGATGATCTACACCTCTTGCAGCTTCCCAAGACAAGCCTCATGTGTAAATCCCCTTGCTTATTAAACCTGCTACCTACCATCCTGGAGTGGCCTACCTCTTTCTTGCGTCTCTCTCTGCCCTCTAAGAAAGGGGGCCAGTTTCAGATTTCACCAGGGCAACTTCCAGGAAGGTTGCAAACCAATAACTGGCGAGCCTGCCAGGAGACCAAAGAAACAGGCCTTGGGAAAGGCATCTGAAGGAAAAATCCTGTGTTGACCACCAACCTCTACGTGGGGAGGGGTGGCCTGTATGTCAGAGGCTTGTGAACCACCACGTGCATACAGGGGCACCCCAGAAACTCTGGCCCGTTTAATGCGCTTCTTTGAGAAACTGTGCCTAATGCACTGCGGGAAAGAGAATGCCCGGCAAAGTGTTGAGAGGGAAGGAGGGGTGTTATGGGGATTGAGTGTGAAATGGACAAAACACCCTGCCATCCTAGTACAAAGGAATGCAAAAGCACAGCAATCACAACCCCACCCAGTGGGCAGCCCCAGTTCAGGAAACGTTCATGATGAGAGAGTATACTCCCATTGAGCTTATTGATACAGCTGCCAAGTTCCAGCAAAAGGCCAAGAAAAGTACCCAAGCATGGTTAGTGCAGTTATGGGATGTAGGGGGACATGGCATTCCTCTGCCTGGTCAGGTGGCAGAAAATATGAGCAACATCTCCACAAACCCTGCCTTCCAGCAGTGCCGGCATGGTCCTTGGTGGGGAGGGCTGGTTCGAGGTACGCATTCCCTTACAGATTGGACTGTTCTAGCCTGCAAAGAGGCTTGCCCAAGGAAGGTGACCTCCCTGGGAAAATGGGACCCTGGAAATCTGTAAAGGAGGTACAACAAATTCTTAGGGAGTTGGGAATGACATAGGCCATCTACACCCCCGTCTTTGCAGGGCCTGATCGGGCCACATTCACTGCAGGAATGAAAGTCAAGATACTCTAGCCTGTCCCCAGCATCTGGTACGGGACGCTGATCCATGCTAAACCCAGTTGTGGGGCAAGATATTATGGTGTTGGGAAATCCATTGCTGATCTGGGGGAAACTGACAGATCCTGGGATCTGGTATGGGCTGTGGGATAGACCCGAGACAGAGAGGGAGCTCAGAAAGTCAAAAGGCTATCCCAGTCAGCTATAAAGGGTAGAGTAAAATTAACCCATATGCAAATGTGGTTTGGCCTCATTGCTGCAGGGACCAAACCTGCACAGATAGACCATTAACCTGTGGAAAACTATGGAGAAGTCTTGAAACTTGAACAACAATTTGGACCTGCCCCATCTTCCCCTACAAGCAGAGGCCTCAGGGGTACAGTCTTATTCAGGGTGGGTGCCTCCTACGCCCAGGGTATTGTTGGATGCAGTCCAAGAGTGCTTCTGGGTGAGGACCACTGCAGGTGATCAGAGGACTCATGTTGAGTTCACGACTCACCTGTCCCCCAGGAATAAACAAAAGTGGCGGCTCTGGTGGATATTGGAGTTGAAGGTACTCTACCACGTGGTAAACCTCAGAAGTTTCCTGGACCCTCAGTGTCATCGATGATTATGGAAGGCAAACAATTATGATCAGGGTGGTCCTTCTGACCCTGCAAATTGGGTGAGTTTTTTTTTTCCTCTCCAATACCAGAAAACATGGTGGACACTGATGACCCAAGAATGTGAGTTTTTTTTTTCTCTCCAATACCAGAAAACATGGTGGACACTGATATCCTACAAGGTCAAACTCTGCAAAACTCTATTGGTGAATTCTGCTCCAGCTTACAGTAATCAAAGCAGTGCTGAGGGAAAATGCCAACTGGGAACCCATAAGCCTGCAGTGAGCTACAGTACACTCCAGCTTTACTCACCCTGAAAAGGGGTAGCGATCAAACAGTATGAATTGCCCTGGGGGTGCAGAAGGAGATAGGAGAAACTATCCAAGAACTGCCCTGACTGGGTATTGTATGCTGTGCCCACAGTATTCTCAACAGCCTGCTCTGGTGGGTAAAAATGCCAGGTGGCTTGTGGCAGATGATGGTGGACCTACCAAAAATCACATGAGGTAGTGCCTCCCTATTCAATATGCAGCTGTGCCCCACATTGCCACCATCTTAGATATCTTGGTCATGGTCTTAGGCGTTTACTATGCTGTGCTGGACGTAGCAAATGTTTTTCTCAATAGACCCCTGGCCACTGGGTCAGAGGATCAAATTGGCCTCCACGTGGGAGGGGCAGCAATGGACCTTTCAAGTGCTTCCCCGAGGTGACCTTCATGGCCCCGCCACATGGCATGGCATGGTAGTCCAAGACCTGTCCCTGTCCTCCTTCCCCACATCAGTAAAATGGGCCCATTACACTGAAAATAGAATGTTAGCATGTGAAGACTTGTTTCTGTGGCAGGACACTCTGCAGGCTTTGCTGGAACATTTGGGGGAGAAGATAAGCAGTGAACCCACAGAAAATTAAAGGCCCAGGCACTGCTTTAAGGTTTTGAGAGTCGTTTGGTGGGGTAAGCAGCATCTTGCCCCAGTAGCTGTGATTGATATGGTAAGCTCATCCAACCCTTGAGAATGTGAA